CAAGCGAATGCCCTGCACACCAAGGCCAGGGCAGGGATCGAGGCGGCGCACCCCCAGATGGCAGCAGACCCATGGCCGCTGCACCTGGGGGACATCCTCCACACACTGGAGGGGTAGAGGGTCACTGAGGGGGGAGGAGGGTCAGAGGGATGGGCCAATGGGTCAAACCGTATGCTTGTACCCCCGCTGAATTAATACAAAGGACCATTTGAGAGAGAGAGAGAAAATAAGCCAAACAAAACAAAACCGGTAGACTGGAGAATGAGAGAGGAGCCTGTTTGTGTAGGTAATTTATACAGAACATGCGTTCTTTTTCTTATGTGATCTATGCAGCCCATTGTGTTCCTACGGAACATGAGTTGTGTGCTACAACGTCAAAGATTTCTTTTTTTCTTCTGCTTGCTGCTGTAGCATAAGGGTGTTTCCCTGTGAAAAGCCAGAATATGGTGCTAGTCATTAAATCGTGGCGATAGAAGGAATTGAGGAGGCACGTTCTAGTCATGTTGCCAAGAGTGTTACACTCTTGGCAACATGACTAGAACGTGCCACTTCCGTAGATTGACTACTTCTTACAAGTATGTTAGGCTTGATATGCCGCTGATGGTAGATGGGATGGATCCGGTCAAGCCATGGTCAGCTATATAGCTGGAGAGGCAGATTGCAGAAGGAGATATACAAAAGAAGAAACGGTATTAGGTGAGATTAAGCGATAGTGTGTGTTTCAGAAAGGGTACGAAGCAGCTGGATTGATTATTGTGTGGTTCACTCACATGCCGGTAACCATGCCTCGGGCATCGCACTCCACATGCTCTGCAGTGCTGCAGTTGCCTCCAGCCACCCATCCAGCGAAAGTCTGACCCCACGCCTGCTGGAAGTCCAGCAGCAGTTGCACTGGCGGGCGAGGGAGGGGAAGAGGTGAGAAGGAGGGATTGGCTTAAGAAGAACTGAAGGATTCAAGGTTAAGATGGGGGGGAGGGAAGGACGGTAGCAGGAGGGCATGGCCCCAAGATCTGCAACAGTGGTGGTGTGCTGGGACGAGGTATCCATGGACCCTAATCTCCCCTCCTGCTACCCTCCTGAGGGGAAACCCTTCAAAGACCTTGCGAAACCTACATACTGCGACATTTTTGTGCGTGATGTACTGAGTATAGATAGGTGGTTCACGTGGGAAGGCCGGTGGTCCCCTTGATACTTTGAGTGCGATGTACAGTATACAAAAGTTTTTGCTTACTGTGCTGCTTCAAGTGTGACTTGTACCGAGTATACAGAGGAGCTTACCCGTGGAACTTCCAGGCCGCAGAGATTACAGGATGACCCACCTTGAGGGGATGTTGGTGGCCTTGCTGGCGGTACCACAGGTGGTGCTGGCATGGTACAGGTTGCGCAGAAGGATGGGCATGCTCGGCAAAAAGCGCTTGAGGCCGTTTGTGGGACCACGCAGCTGGTGTTGTTGGAGGGGCATGTGAGTCCAGTGCCATCGATGTACCTGCACGTGAACAACCATTGTAACTCAGATGTATTATCACTTTTATATTCACAAACAGCCGCTGGTTTTTGGATAACATTGCACATGAATTCTGCATCCTGGGATTGCCATTGTATAGGCCAGAGTGGCAGAGTGTCAAAGTCAGGAAATTGGTATACAGTGATGAAAGGCTGGTAAGGCCACCCAACATCGGAGGGAGCTGGCCTGTAAGGTTGGTTGAGCTGATATCACTGAAATGCAAATGCATACACAGACGTGCGCATGCACACACATGCGCACATGAATGCACATACACGCATGTACGCACACGCGCACACATGTACTCAAGCTCACATGCAGACAGATGGCATGGTGAGAATACATCCACCATTCGTTCACATAAAGGGATTGTGACTGAAACATTATTTTGGTTTGGAACCCAAATTTGTGCGAGAAATCAACCCAAACTGGCGAAAAGAACAAAGAAAAACGTAATATGCATATGACTGAGGAAAAAAATAACGCATACAGTCTCATGAGATTGACCAGGTTGCTCATTGAGTCAGGAATGCTGCCAGTCAGATTGTTGTTGTAAAGTAGTCTGGTGGGCCAAGGAACAAGTTACACAAGGCAGCACGGATCTTGGCATGTTGTATGAGCGTTTCTTGAGGCGCTTTATCAAAATCACGAGGCTTGGGATGTTGTATGAGCATGGGATACGTAGCAGCCCACATGGGTCGAAAGATAAGGCACATGAAGAATTGCAGTTAGATGATAACACTCAGGTTAGACATGGGGCTATCCTGGGTGTCAAACCAATCGTATTACCTGTACCATGTAACGTCTCTAGAGTCTGTACCACTATGTAGTATGGACACTTACAGAGAATTCAGGTTGGTGAGGTTTCCAATGGACCCTGGTATGGTCTGTGAGAGTAGGTTCGACTTCAAACTCCTGCATGTGTTTGTTTGCAGCGGGAATGCATCATTGAGAGAAAAAGGTTGTGAAAGAGCACGTGGGTTTGAAGGTCTCCATATGCCTTAGTAGAAAATTGAAAGCACATGGTTTTGATCCAGTGCCTTGATACTAACATGAAAGTGAGTTTCCTCAGGTTCCCAATGGTCGATGGGATAGACCATGTTAAGTTGTTGATACCCAGGTCCCTGATGGTACATATGGATTTATGCATGGGTAGAGTGACCGACGTAAGAGAGAAGAGGAGGAATTCATGAGGAGGAAAATTTAGCAGAGGGACGAAATATGATTGCTCGCATGGGATTGTGACCATTGAGACACGCAATTAACTGTCCCATCTGCTGAATCCGCATGACAATCTCTAGTTTCAGATGACACATACCACTTCTGCTAAATGGCTCACAGGAAGTACTAGTTCAAGCCCATGGCTGGCAGATAACAATATGATATACACAACTGATGGCATGTATAGAATATACATATATATACATATAGATATGATATTCATATGCTATTGTTGTACTATTGATATGCTCACAGGTATTGAAGATCCAGAAGAGCTCCGATCATTGAGGGAATGTGGCCACTGAGGTGATTCCCGTAGAGATCCCTGGAAGCCGTTGGTTGGGAAAAGAACGATGATAAAGTGAATGCTGAAGTGGCACAAACGACATAATTGAGGGTGTTACGATTATCATCATTAATTCTATTCAGACGATGGCCAATCGGCCAGTCAGCCGGTCAATTATGTGTGTGAGAGCAAATCAGGTGTGGTGGGGACTGTGTGCAGCGCACAAGTGGACAAGAAATAGGAGATAATACAGAGCAATCGAAGTGCTTTCAGTACTGACATGCGTGTTAGCCTGCTCAAGCTTGCGATTCGTCTCGGTATTGATCCTGTCAAGTTGTTTGTGTGCAGATCTCTGATGGAAGAAAAGAACATCAGGTAGAACAGAGATTGGCAAATGAGATACGAAGACTTGCTTTTGAAGTTAATCAAGTGGAAACTGCACTCTCAAATGTGAAACATACCATTCAGCTGAGAGTAAGCTGTCAGTGGTAAGAAACTGGCATTTTTGTGTGCATTCTCTTCTCGTTCCTGTGGCCGCACTAGAATGTATCGCACCATGAACAGCCAATTCTGGTCTGGTGGCACTATTAAGTTTTGTGTGTGTGTGTGTGTGTGTGTGTGTGTGTGTGCGTGTGTGTGTGTGTGTGTGTGTGTGTGTGTGTGCGTGTGTGTGTGTGTGTGTGTGTGTGCGTGCGTGCGTGCGTGCGTGTGCGTGCGTGTGTCTGTGTGTGTGTGCGTGTGCGTGTGCGTGTGCGTGTGCGTGCGCGTGTGTGTGTGTGTGCGTGTGCGTGTGCGTGTGCGTGCGTGTGTGTGTGTGTGTGCGTGTGCGTGTGCGTGTGCGTGTGTGTGTGTGTGTACTGATACAGGTGATCCACAAACGACTGCAACCGTGGCTTTACCTTTGCGAGCAACGATACAGATGAGCCTCAGACAGATACGGATGTAGCTACACTCATCCGCGCACAACGACACTCGTTTTAGAAATGAATCACCACATATGGGACTGTTACCCAAACTCAAGTGCCAGATTTCTGCCACTCACAAGCGTGTCAAACTGCTCATGCCGCCGATAGTGGAAGGAATGGATCCGTTCAAGCCATGTCCACTCAGATTACTGGAGGAGGCGCAATGGGTTCCGCAGGAAAAATGGGATAAGGCAGAGAGGAGAGGAGAAGAGAGGAGAGACGAGGAGATAGGAAGAGAACAAGGAAAAGATATATGTTGGTGTTGCTTTTCAGAATTCTCAAGCTATGTTGGTGTTGGTTTTGTGAATCGTAAAAGGCAACACCAACATTCTGCTTGAAGGTTTCGGTCTTGGTTTTATGAAAAACGAAAAAACAAATAGGAGGGGAGGGCAAGGGTACATGTGATAGGGGTAAGGGGAGCAAGATGAAGTCCGGGCATTGGAGGAAAGTGGAGGGAGGAAGTTAGGAGCGAGAGGGGTCATGATGAGAGTCAGCTACGGATTGTATGTCCAACACAGGTACAACACATGCTGGTAACCATGCCTTGGGGGGCACTCAAATTGTAGCTCCTGTGGGGCTTACACGTTAGGGTTGAGAGCCTCTGCTCCTCTGCGCCTCGAATATAATCCTCGGTTCGACCCAGTGGGTAGTGAGGCATTAAATTGGTTTCAGAGTTCGGGGTTCGATTCTCAGCTGGGTCACATTTTCCACTGTGCGCGTGAAGTTGAATGTAGTAACCCAGTTGCGAACCTAGCGAACGATCCACCACTGGCCTGGCCCACCAGCGAAGTCGCTGTAGAGAGAGATTGAGGTCCTTGTGAGGGCCGACTCCCTGCCCAACGAGGACATAGCCTCCAGCGGGGGATGAGTGTACTAACGCCTGTGGGGCTTACACGTAAGGGTTGAATGCCTCCACTGCACCTCAAGTATAACCATCGTTTTGACCCAGATGGGGGGGAGGCGTTATACACATGCTGGTAACCATGCCTTGGGGGGCACTCACATGCTGGTAACCATGCCCAGATCATCGCACAGCACATGCTCTGCAGTGCTGCAGTTGCCCCCAGCCACCCACCCAGCGAACGTCTGCCCCAACGCCTGCTGGAAGTCCAGCAGCAGTTGCACTGGCGGCGGAGGGAGGGGGGAAATGGGCATGAGTGTGGGATGGAGGGAAAAGGAGGGAAAAGGAGGGAGAGGCGGAAGGTGGGGTGGAGAGAGAGAGGGAAGGAAACATGGGTGAGAGGGTCGGATGAGAGGTATGGGTGAAAGAGGGGTGAGAGCGGGGGTTAAGGGAGGGGTGAGAGGGAAGAGGAGGAAAGAAGTGAATGAAACTGAGATTTCAGACTGTCAGAGGAGGGAACTGGGGTGGAATGAAAATGGGGTAAGATTCGACTTGCGTAGGAGTTGAGGAGGGGTTGATTTGGAGAGGGGTTGAGCTGGGGAGGGGTTCAATTTGAGGAGTTAATTTGAGGAGTTGACTTGTAGGGAAGTGGTCTAGGGAGGGGGTTGGACTTGGAGAGAGGGGGAGGGGGGGGGGGGGAGGGGATTTTACTTAGGGAAGTTTTGACTCTGAGGTGTGAAAGTCTCACCTTGGGGATTGGTTGGTCCAGGAGAGGGTGCTGGCATGATGCAAGAGCGGCAGAACGAGGGGCAGGTTCGACAGAAGGCGCTTGAGGTGTTCTGTGGAATCACACAGCTGCTCCTGTCTGGCGGGCATGTGATTGCTGTTCCCGAAATATTCCTGCGGGTGCACACAAGTGTAGTTTCGACGGGTTTGTGAAAACCCAGGTTGAGTGCACCTCTAATCGAAATTGTGGTTATAAAGAGTATCTGGGAACACAAGATAACAAGTCGCCCTAAGACAAAAGTGCAATGTTTCCATGAGTAAGCTCTAAGGAACCAGATGCAGATCCTACTAAAGCAGTGCATTTTCATACTGTAGAGAACAAGTTGTTGCACATACTAATACATATGTAGGCTTATTTCAGAAATATCGAAAGAAAGAAAGAAGAGGTTGTGGGTTGTGTCAACTAGGGAAGTAACGTACAGAGATGAGAGGAGAGTCAGATAGCCGAACATAGGAGGTAGCTGCCCACTCAAGCTGGTCTGGTCAAACCGGCTGCAGTAGCATCAATCAAGGCATAGGGAAAGCGTAAGAGGTCATATGCAAATGAGATGTGCCTAAATTGGGAGATGTAATGGGGAACTCAGCTTCTTGATTTTACATCTACTGGTGATTCCTGGTAGATGAGGTTTGATACATGTCATTTAAGGTTAGAAGCGTTGAGTTAGCCTACAAGGATGAAAGGAGGGTGAGGTATCCGAGTGCGGACGAGAGTTCTCCGCTCACGCTGGTGTGGTCTATAAGCCTGCAAAAACATGATTTGAAACATGATTTGGAACATGATTTGGAACATGATTTGAGACATTATTCGGAGCATTATATAAGCACGCGGTGCATTGTGTACATGAGGGAGAATTACAATGACAGAGGAGCCTACTTACAGTCCACGGAGGTTTATGAGCTTGCTGATAGAATCTGGAATGGTGCCATTCAGGCTGTTGTTGTATAGATGTCTGAAAAAACAGTAGAGGTTCCACGTGGCACAAGGAAACGGCTGAATCGTTTGAGAATGGGAAGGAAAGATACATGAAAGGAGCGAACAACAACATTAGGTTAGCCAAGAATGGTTATAAATTTGCCGTGTGTGATTGAATATACGTAAGTATAGAATCCAAGGTATCATTCTCTTACAGATACTGCAAGTTTACGAGGTTGCCAATAGAATCTGGGATGGATCCAGTCAGAGAATTGTTGTAAAAATCCCTGCACCAATTTTTAGAGTTAACAATGACATGAGTTTGTTAAGGCATGGTTTTTGGAAATTTCGAGGTGAAGTTGTATAGTGAAATGGAAAACCAACTTTGAAAATACCGCAACATAAAAGGCATACACACATGCCAGCTGTATTTCCGAAATACTTACAGATGTGTCATCTTTGTCAAGCTTCCGATAGTAGATGGAATAGATCCACTTAAGCCATTATACTGCGCTCCTCTGATAGAGATGGTAGATGGGGGGGGTTGTAAAATGGGTGAATGCAGGACGGCAACAAATATGTGGATTGTTAATATCTGAGCAACAAACATGAATAAGAAGCAGTTATATGGCGCATGCGGCTTTCTATTCTAAACATCAAGGGTTCCAAAAACGGATTCCTCAGGGCACATTCTGACCACTGAGTGGGTGCGAATGAGGTGCGAAAGTGGTCTGATCTGATCATTGGAACCTTGATCAGAGCCTGGAATCTTCCCTCAGCTTGCGTTCTCGCATCACACATTGCTGTTCGTTTTCAGCCGATGTAAGGGTAGGGTAGCAATGCTCACAGATATATTATGTTCCGGAGGTTGCCAAGCGAATCCGGAATGGTTCCAGTTAGACTGCTGTTGCTGAGGTCGCTGAACATTCAATGATACCAATATGGATGGGTAGAAAAGTGTAGCATCTCAAATAATGTGAATCGATGGCTAGAAAGGTATGCACTCAATCCACAGAGTTGCTACGCTGCAGAATGAGTTGTACTTCCTGAGTAAACTAGTATGAGACAGATAACGCAGGTGACTTTTGAGTAGACTCAGAAGTCATCCCATGACAGTGGCAATGTCAACAACAAAGACGAAGACGGCAACAACCAAGACAGTGCCACCGACACATCGTCCAAGACGATGGCGATAGCAACAGAAACAGCAATCGCAAATTAGTCATAAATTTCTCTCACACTACGCACAGGTATTTCAGGCTTGTCATGTTGCCAATCGTAGGTGGAATCGGTCCGCCTAATTTGTTGTTGCTTATGGAACTGGCAGGGTGCAGAGGAGAATACACAATATTGTCTTATGATGGGAGTGTGACTGGTGAACGAAATTCTAGAAGCAAGAGCGAAGCAATGCAAGCAAAATACGCAGGGTTATTGGTATAAAAAAGCAGTGAGAGATGCGAGTACGATCTCAAGGATGATAGGCGAAATGTCATTTGCAGTCAAGAGGCTTACAAATCCGTAGCTCTCTCAAGATCTCCTATGGTCTCGGGAATTGGTCCACTGAGCTGATTTCGATCAAAGCGTCTGCAGGTTATGAATAGAATGGAGAGTACAGAGTAAACCAGAAGAAAGAAAGAAAGAAAGAAAGGGAAAAAAAGGAAGGAAGGAAGGAAGGAAGGAAGGAAGGAAGGAAGGAAGGAAGGAAGGAAGGAAGGAAGGAAGGAAGGAAGAAAGAAATGAAGAACTATGAGTAAATAAAAATGCGTGGGCCTCTATTAGCATCATGTCTAAAACGATACACGTAATTTCATTCTAAAAGGGAACGTTATGGTAACCAGAGTTCGACCACTGTGAATTTTCCAGTAAGAAATCATGAGAATAGCTCTCTTACTCGTTGAAGCCTTTATGATACTAACACAACTTGCAGGCTGGTCAAGCTTCCAACAGTAGATGGGATGGGACCCCTGAGATTATTCGCGGCCAGATCTCTGATGGATTCAGTAACGCGTTGGGGAGTGGTGTAATGATTGGAGTGGAGGGAAAGACAATGATGTTAAGTATTGAGGGCGCCATGTGTGTGCAGCTGTACTGCATTTTAGCAAAGTCACATCCTAGTGTGTTAGACTTTGATTATCTCACTATTGTTTGGACAAGTTCCAACCCCTAGGTTTACGTCCATTGTGTAGCAAGAGATACTTTGATTCCAAAAAGGGAATTTATGATACTAACACAAATTGTAGGTTGGTCAAGCTTCCAACAGTAGATGGGATGGTACCACTGAGATGATTCCAGGCCAGATCTCTGATGGATTCAGTAACGCGTTGGGGAGTGGTGTAATGATTGGAGTGGAGGGAAAGACAATGATTTCAAGTATTGAGGGCACCGTGTGTGTGCAGCTGTACTGCATTCTAGCAAAGTTACATCCTAGTGTGTAAGCCTTTGATTATCCCACTATTGTTTAGACAGATTCCAAACGCTAGGTTTGTGTCCATCATGTAGCAAGAGATACTTTGATTCCAAATCAAGCAGCTCACAGGAATGTCAGTGATACGAGGTTGCCTATCGTCGCAGGAATAGAGCCAGTGAGGTTGTTACTGTAAAATTCCCTGAGAAAAGTTTTTGTGCGGGGAAAAGAGAATGCCAAGGCTTTGTCTTCGTTAGGGATAATTATTCAGACACAAATGATATACCATAGATAACTTAGCAAATACTGATCCAAGGTCCTGGTCGTGGTCCGGGGATGAAGGGATTCAGTTTCTAAAACTGAAAAAGCATCAGAGAAATCCTTAAATTTTCTTGTTTGCAAGCCAAAACGGAGTGTTCACTCACATTAGACTACCCTTAAGGGCTCACTCACATTGTAGTGATCATCCCTTGGGAGTCGCAGGTGAGATTGGCCGCAGCGCTGCTGTTGCAGCTAGTACGAGCGCCCGAAAGCCCCCAGCTAGCGAATGTCTGTCCCCAAGCCTGCTGGAAGTCCAATAGAGCTTGCTCTGGGGAATGGAGAGAGGAGAGGAGGAGAGAGTCGGTAGTACTAAAAGGAACGAGAGGTTTATTAGGTGAAAAATGAGATGGTATCTGGATTCATCTTTATCTCCATGGTGGTAACCATGTGGTAACGCGTTGCACAGTGATTGATAAAGAAAATAACTTCACAGCTTAAAAAACACGGTCTACACACTCCCATGAATCGAGATTCCGGCTGATGACAAATTTGACCGGACAACCGGAGCTGACAGCTGCGTTTGGCATCCATTCGATGGCATCCATTCGATGATATAACGAGCAACGGAACAGCGTCTTGGTATGAATCGATGATTCCTGGCGGAAGAAAAGCGAAAAAGCAGAACCTTCAGCGGAACGGCTTTTGCAATACAATTTGGGACGTACCCTGTGAGTTGGCGTAAGGCACACAGTTTACTGGCCCGAAAAACTCGGCGATACACGCCAACACAATCATTGCACTGAGCCGCCATTGGATCTTCGCGCCTCCCACGTTCGTTCTGGTCACCGGGGGCCCTCCCATCATCATGGGAAGTGTGCTTCACGGGAATGAAAGCCCAATTTTGATGCTCCTTCTTCTTCGGAAGCTGACTCTAGATGGTAGTAAGCAGAAATAGCGTAGTGTAGTTGAAGGTGTGATGTCGTCTATTCTAGTATATTCTACCAGTGTGGCTTGATTGATATCACCAGCAAGAACAAATGAGCAAAGAAAAAGGCACTGTGTATGCAGAGTCGGAGGAGATATATGACTATCCCTTGCAGGAAATGCCCCCACAGAGCTGGAAAGGGATGGTAGGTTGGCCAGCGAGGTCGCGAAAACATTATCGTGTTCGCAGCACTGCGAGTGCCACATCACGCGTGCAGACGAGAAAGTCGAACATTTCCGACATTCCTATTCGGTTACCCTTCTGCTGATATTGATGGGCAATTCTGGGAGGACTAGGCAAGATTCATCGCGAGGTGACGTGGATTGTTTTGAGGCGTGGAACGCCAGCAATGTATTCCAGATTTCAAGTCTTGCCAATTGTGCAGTTCTGACAAATCAGAACAATGGCAGACCGAGTTTGACTAAAACCACCAGCGTGACCTCGTGTTGCCATAACGAAACAAAAGAGCACAAAACACTCCACATAAGAAATGAGAGACCAACAAAGAGACGAACAATCTAACACTT